GAAGGCAATTCTTCAATAATCTGCCATGGAAATTCCTTTAACTTATTGTCGTCCAGTCGTAGGTGAATCAGATTTAACTTCTTTATTCCTGATAAATATAAAGAATGCAGAATTTAAATTTCATGAAAGTTGACAAATTTCCAAAAACACACTACAATTTGTTTTAAATATTAAATTACTATTATATTTCTTATTCAAATATTCTGACATTTTGTTTCAACGTGATTAAATTTAATTTATATTAATAATAAAGCAAAACAAATCAGGTATGCAAATAGAACAGTCCTAAAGAAAACAGCTTAACTAAAGCCCTTTCACATCCCATGTTGATGAGAAAACCAATATCCTATCCAGTAAGTAAATTGCGATTAATATTTGTCCGTGAATTTACATTTTAATTTATATGTTACTCATTTGCATGAGCTCTCATTACCGAAGAATGTGTGAATGTGCTTGAGCCTGGAATGCTCACTAAGGTAGCAGGATAGTCTTTTGCTAGACAAATTCTGGACAGAAAGAAAATTAATCAGAACATGATGGCTAAAACTTACCAAACCTATACATTACTGAAAAACTTAAATTTTGCCAGAAATTTTCGAAAAACACTTATTTGTGTTTGTTTTAGGCCCACAAAGATGCGATAAATGAGTAAATGGGTGAATGAATATTTGAGAACAAAATTATTTCTTTTCTTCAATTATTACACTGACAAGATTTTATGTTTGTATCAGAACATGATGGCCAAAACCTGTACATCAAACCTATACATTTATGAAAACGCATTAATTTTGCCTGAAACATTTATTTGTCTTTGTTTTAGGGTCACACAGATAAATGGGTAATTGAATATTTGAGGACAAAATTATTTCAATTCTTCACTTATTATAGCGACAAGATTTTTTCTAGTGAACTTGTATCAACAATACTGTTGCAAAATTAAAAAAAAACTGTTGTAAAATAAGTGTAACATTTTTCAAACGTTTAGGTATACTCTTGAATTTTTTATAGAAATTAAATACTGTAATGCAAGTGCCATTACCGATAAATAAAAATGTATTGAAAAAACATAGTAATAAGTTTATAAGAATGTTTATACAATCAGTATAGAAACAATCATTGTATATTGACTTATAACAATTTCTAGGAATACATAATAGTGTACACTGTATAGTATTCTTTATGTTTCTAAAATAAATTCCATTCTGATTGTTGCTCATTATATTTGTGGCAACAAAGTAAATGATAGCATGGAACATGTCGAAAAATGGTGCATCTTCTAAGACATATAAAATACATACTATAGTGTTACAAACGATATGGAAGTATTTCCAAGGGACACATCTCAAGTCGTATAGGACATGTGACCTGTACCGAAGTACTAATGCAAATTGAGCTGGTAGGTTTCAATAAGAAGGAAATGTAATTGTTGACGGATGAGGGTCAATCATCCATACAAACAGCTCCGCTCTGTCATCGATACAGCTACAAATGACAAACATTGTTGTTACCCCTAAAGGGTCATGGAAATGGGAAACACGAGAAAAATCTCTGGATATATATGATTATCAGAAATAGCACATGTAATGTCCAAAATGGCTGCTAGTTGCCTGTGAAATAACAAAATACATCTAATGTATTTGTAAAAAGTTTGAAAAGGATATGTCAACAACTGTGTGAGCTATGACTCCTGATATATTCACAGATAGACTGACCGAACTGACCCAAAATAATAGTCCTCACTTTCGGACTTTGTCCAAAGCAGAGACTAAAAACAGATGCACTATAATCTATGTCTAACGTTTGGTGCTGCAGTTTCACTACAAGAGATGTCAAAAATCAGGAAATAGCTAATTTTACTCAGATGTTTTATTATTATTTTTTTAAATGTTATTTTAAGGGCAACATAAACCAAAGACATTAATGTGTATGTGGGATTTTTACAAGCACTTATAGCTTACTGAATGGTATTACAGTCTGAATCTCATTTGTAGTTTTGTCAGTTGTTATAATGTACACAAGAGAATCTGTTATTTTCTCAATATTTTTGTGACATAGATACAATATTGTCATACTCTTTGATTAATTGGTCAATGATGCCTTACCTGATGGTATAGAAGTCAATGCATTCGACATCATGTCAAGTTCTGTCAACTGTTCTAATGCACACAATGAATCTGGTATCTTCGCAATCTTATTGAACGATAGATTCAATGTCTTCATACTCTTCAATTTACTAATCTCATCTGGTATAGCAGTCAATGCATTAGACACCATGTTAAGTTCTGTCAACTGTTCTAATGCACACAATGAATCTGGTATCTTCGCAATGTTATTGTGATTTAGATTCAATATCTTCAAACTCTTCAATTTAGTAATCTCATCTGGTATAGCAGTCAATGCATTATAATGCATGTTAAGTTTTGTCAACTGTTCTAATGTACACAATGAATCTGGTATCTTCGCAAACTTACTGAACGATAGATCCAATATCTTCATACTCTTCAATTTAGTAATCTCATCTGGTATAGCAGTCAATGCATCAGATCCCATGTAAAGTTCTGTCAACTGTTCTAATGCACACAATGAATCTGGTATCTTCGCAATGTTATTGGATGATAGATCCAATATCTTCATACTCTTCAATTTAGTAATCTCATCTGGTATAGCAGTCAATGCATTATACCGCACGTTAAGTTCTGTCAACTGTTCTAATGCACACAATGAATCCGGTATCTTCTCAATGTTATTGTTATTTAGTTTCAATATCTTCATACTCTTCAATTTACCAATCTCATCTGGTATAGCAGTCAATGCATTATACTCCATGTAAAGTTCTGTCAACTGTTCTAATGCACACAATGAATCTGGTATCTTCGCAATTTTATTAAACGTTAGATTCAATATATTCATATTCTTCAATTTACCAATCTCATCTGGTATAGCAGTCAATGCATTATACCCCATGTAAAGTTCTGTCAACTGTTCTAATGCACACAATGAATCTGGTATCTTCGCAATTTTATTGGACGATAGCTTTAATTTCTGTAATTCGTGGCATTCCCCGATCTTTCGTGGTACTATTGTTAGTCCGTTATT